TAGTGGAAGTCAATAACAAGACAACAATATATCTCTATCTATTCTACATATACTATTTGTTCTGCTTATTCTTTGTGAAAGTTATATCAAATTTTCTTTTCACTTTAAACATGTGAGTGCTTCCTATAATTTTACTTGGTGAAAATAATTAATACACATATAAACTCGATAAGTCGGTCATGCAGGGGCAGGCACATTTGACCGACTTATCGAGTAAACCAACTTATCGAATTTCATATTAATATAAATTTTTTGAATTTTATTTAATAAAATAAATTGTTTAAACAATGTATAAAAATTATTTATTACTATTATGAAAAAAAATTTTCTAAGGTAGGTTGTTTTAAAGAAGCATTTTGTTTTCTTCTAATTTGACATTGTAGGTCTCTCATTCCTGATATTACTGAGTTATTTATTTTTATATCAGAATTTTGTTGTAAATAATTAAATAGATTTTGAATACTATCCAGAGCAACTGTACATGATATTGGAGCACTCATAGTTTCTTCTTCTTCTTGTTCTGGTGCTTCTTGTACTGCGGCAATTATCTCCTCATCATCAATTATTTGAGAGTTTTCTATTCTAGAGTCAATATTAATATAGTTGCTTGCTGCGATACCATCAACATTCATTTGATCAATAAGTAATTGGACTGCATCTTCTTCATCTTCTAATAAATATTCTAATTCATTTGGTCTCATTTCCTCATCTCCTTCAACCATCTCCTCATCTTCTTCATCATTAGGTAGAATATCTGCTCTTTGCCAACAACGGTATATTGTATCATCAGTTACATTATCCCAAGCTTGTGCAGTCCAATTAATCGCATTCAAAATATTTAACCTAGGAATATCAACACCAAGTTCTTGGTTTTCGTCATATGCTTGAATCCTGTCTTGGCATAATAATTTTCTATAATGGGCCTAATACAATACAAAAATAAATAAGGTAAATTTTCTTATATTTATCATTAAAAAAAAAGTATAATTACCTTAAATGATCGTATTATACCCTGATCAATTGGCTGAAGATGAGAAGTTGTATTTGGTGGAAGAAAATGCAATTTAATATTGCTCAATTCTTCACCTTCTTCCAATTGATGTGACGAAGCATTATCTACTAATAATAAAATGTTTCTTCTTCTTTTTTGCATTTCTTGATTAAATTGTCTAATCCATCCTTGGAAAATAGAATGTTGCATCCATGATGAATTATTCCAATAATACCACACGGGGAGTGATTTTTTATCAATATTATGAATACATCGTGGATTTTTATATTTATAGATAAACACTGGAGGTAATTTATGAGTTCCGATTACATTACATGCAAGCATTATAGTGATTCTATCTTTTGGTTTTTTTAATCCAGTAATAGGTCCACTGGCAAGAGATGTATTAGGTTCTAATTTCCAATAAAGACCAGTTTCATCTGCATTATATACATCTGCCAATTCATATTGTGCAATTATAGATTGTAGTTCAGTTCTAAGTGCAGGTAATTCATTAATTGGTGCACTTGCTGCTTCTCCTAATTTATAATGTTCTTTAATGTTGTTTCTTTTTTTAAAATTTACAATCCACCCCTATTTAAAATCAATAATAGATATTTAATGAATTAATACACAATTTAAAACAAAAAGAAATTGATACTTACATGTGATGATTTGAAATCGGAAATA